CTTTCACAAAGTTTATCGGGCATCACAAGACTTGGTATGCCATTTACCATCTCTTGAGTAATCAGCTGATTGATCGACCTAAAATTCAGATGGCCAAACCTCAAATGCCACAACCAACTATCCTTGTGGTCAACAACTGATTTCAAGCATTGTACCTCTGTCAAACTGATCATAGTCATAAACGTCTGATTCTTCAACAATCGAGATTTTAAGACCAAATTGTTCAAGGTGTCGAGCAGTTCCAATGCTCTATCTTTCATAACCACTGAGAACCCCTTTTTGACCAGTTGTTCAACACTTGGATGATTGCACTTCATGCCAGGTGCATAAAGTACATCTTTGATCAAGGCCTTAGCTTCGTTTATCCTTTGAATAACAATTTCGCATGTAACTTCTGCTTGCAACGAGCTATTATTAGCAATTTGACCTTTCTCTTTTTCAACTCATCGGAATCTACTAACTACTCCTTTCGACCAGTCATGTGATTTGAGCAGTCAGAGTCGAGGAACCAGATCTTGGATTTGACATGGTTATCTGCGACTATAGCCATAACCACCATATCTCCATAATCATCTGAATTTTCGTGTGCAAGTTTCGCTCCTTCGTCCTTGCCTTTTGTCGATCCCTTGTCTTTCTTGTACCAACAATGCTTGGCCAAATGAACCCACTTTTCACAGTTATAGCACTAACGCCTTTTTTCTCTTCTTTGTCTTTCTGATAGGAATTTCCTTCTCCTCTCTTCGAGGATTCAGAAGCCCTGCCACCGACCTTATTCTTGTGAGGATTCGACCAAGACTTCTTGCCCTGAGTCTTGTTGAATTTGCCTTTGAATTTGTTGGAACCGCCATTTTTTTCCATAGCTGAGTCTGAAGTGCTTGTATCGAGTATTGAAATCTTTTCCTTTCGACAATCCTAATCTCATGCGCTTCCAACGAATCAACGAAATCTTCCAGTTTTAGGGTTTCAAGTTGGTTGGATTCTTGAATAGCTATGATAACGTAATCAAAGTGAGAGATCAATATACACATTACCTTTTCAACTATCATGTTATCAGTTAGGCTTTCACTACCACCCTTCATGAGATCGACGAGTTTTTGTACCTTTAACACATTCTCTACAATCTTTTCGTCTTCTCCCATCGATAACAATTCATATTGTCGATGTAAGGCCTGCAACTTGACAATATTGGCTTTCTCACCTCCTTCATAGTACTTGACAAGAATATCTGATGCCTCCTTTGCTGATTCAACATGAGAGGTTTTGTTGAAATTCTCTGAATCTACCGCCATTTGAATGCAATACGCAATCTTGCAATCCTTTTTCTTAACTTTTTTGTGAACGGTCTTCCGTGAGTCGGTTGCATCTGTTGCTAGCGCATGAACCCTATTAGTAACCACTTATAGAGTTTCATGAAAGCCAAGCAGAGATTGAATATGTTTTCTACATCGAATCCAATTCTTTTCATCAAGAGTTGGAAGAGAATTCAAAATGCCATTAGTACTATTCATCTTCACAGTGATTGATTGACAATAACCCACAATCCTGGAAACACGATCTCTGACGTGTGATTTTTAAAAACACGACCAAGAATCTAACCATCACTACTATGGAAAACCCATTTAACAACGATTGAGAAAGATATATAATAACGCGGGCCCATGCGTTGTTATGTAGAGTGTCGTTGAATATAAGATACTTACAATCACGACCCAGTAACCATTGTAATAAACTGGAAAACACGCTCCCTATCACAATGGGTTTTCCAAAAGGTCATTATGATAAAATTAATGGTCCTATGTTCGATTCTCAACTGCATTGTTTTGATATTTTTTTTTGGACAACGTGCGAGATAATATAACCGTTATGATTATAACCATTGTTACATTTTCTGCATGATTAACAAATATTATCCTTCTTTTATAATTAATCCTATTTTTTAACCTATATTATTATTCACCATATCACAGTAGAAAATACAACTCACATTTATGATAAAGTTGTCATAATACTATTAATTCTATCATATTCATAATATCACATAATTGTATCATATTCAATAATACCATAACAAACATTCTATAATTTATGAGAACAAATAACCTAAAGTTTACACATTACATAACATCATATAATTGTAACTTGGTGTTTTAGTTTCTTGTCTCTTGGTGTCTTGTCTCTTGGTGTCTTGACTCTAAAGACCTATAATTTCAAATAATTATACTTGTTAGTAAAAATACTTAGAAACTATAACATACAATTGAATACATTATGAATAAAGAATAAATTATGTACTTGTTAATTTTCCCAAATGCCTTCTTCATGATCGATTCGAATAGCATAGACAACATCTCCATCAACTTCATCATATGAGTTAGGAACTTGTGTTGTGTAATATGGCGTGGACGGAATATCAAGACTTTCATCACTAAGAGGAATGTATTTTTCTTGGAGAATGATTGACTATTTCCCTGATATGTTTGATGGGTCGGTAACATAGAAAACTTGTTTTGCTTGAGAAGTCATGATCAATGGTTCGGTCATAAAAGGTGCCTTGCCAAGGTCGACCCGGGTGAATTCTAATATCAATGTATACACCATTATTATTATTGGGAAGCCACTTGCATTTAAATAAAGCCATTTTTTCCTTCAGATTAAACAACTTTAACACCAACGACAATTGTTTAAAATTTGTGTATCCCTTATATAAAGGGTGTCTTTATCACTATATAAAGTATCATAAATATGAGTGTTCTTAAAAGAAGATTCCCCAATATCACAGAACATATCCTCTAGCTGATCTTCCATATATTCATCTTCATCCACTCTTTGACTTTGTGACGCGTGACTTTCCTCTTTATCCATCTCACCATGCCACGTGCATATTATATAATTTTGACATATACCATCACAACAAAGGTGCTGGAATATTTCTTTCTTTGTACCCTTATTGATATTCGCACAAACAACACAAGGACAATAAAAGATATCATTATTGTCGGAAAGATGTTTATCAGCGTATTCAAGGAAATCAAGAACTCTGTTCTCATAAATCGGACCTAATTTATCGACTTTCATCCAACTATGATCCATAACAATTTTTGAAATTTATACACGTATAATAATGTGAATGACACACCAAAATCTAATCCAAAAACTAAAGCATATGCATATGCAAATGCAAATCTAAACCTAAAGCATATGAAAAATGTACTATCATACTGACTTGAGTATATACAACATAAATAAATAAAAAAGGAATGAAGATGTTGAAGAGTACCGTACTTCGAAGCTGAAGAATCTTATGCACGTAAGGAATGAAGATGTTGAAGAGTACCGTACTTCAAAGCTAGAGAATCAAATGAACGAAGACGGTGAATATTTGAGCATATACAACATAAACCAAGAAAAAATGAATGAAGAAATTACAGAGTACCGTACTGCGAAGTTGAAGAATCAAATGAACGAAGAGGGTGAATATTTGAGCATATACATCATAAACAAGAAAAAAGAAATGAAGATGTTGAAGAGTACCGTACTTCGAAGCTGAAGAATCAAATGAACGAAGTTGGTGAAAATTTGAGCTCCAAATGAATGGATACGGAGAGGGTAAAGATTACGCCACCTCTGTCGTCTCTGAATCGCTTGTTTGCCTAGGGCGTCTTATGAAAGAAATACAATATAAGTTTTGTTTTAATTTATTAGTAAACCCTTTAGCCGCGGTTGGACAAAACAACTGTAGTGGAAACTTAAGTCCTCTAACAACGGTTGGTGTACTTCACCGTTGTTAAATCTTTTACAATTTATTTTTTAAATAATAGACTAAGTGACACATGCTTAATCTACTCTAAAAAAATGGAAAAAATGTAGTTTATGGGAATCAAAGCGTCCTACACATCATTTTTTTACTACGATGTTTAAAGACAACCATCATTAAATTACTGTTTATAAATCCAACAACTCACTGGGCACAAAAAACTTAATCTATTACTACGGAGTATATGAATCCGTTATAAACATATCATTGTTGTTTGTGCGTTTTGTAATAGTACAAAACTCTAGATACCAATTTATTAGTGAATGAGACACATTTAATGAGGGAGAAAAAGAGATAATAAAAAAATAAAGATTATATTATTAATTGTTACAAACTCATTTACAAACTAGATTATTGTAAACTTGAATTATATGTAATATTTCAAGAATTATAAATGGCTAGGCAACCTAGGCCTTACTTATTTTAAAAAACAAATGCATTTGGAATATATATTAGATGATTTTGTCTAGTCTGTAAAATAGAAAGAGAGGAATGAAGGAAGGCAATAAGGCGCGTGAAGGATTAGAATTTGTGAATAAGAAGAATCTATCCCTTGCTTGTGGAAGGAGGTCGAGTGGGTCCAAACGATGTGGGGCTGTTAAGTAGAGTGCTCTTTCGGTATGCCTTCTTTATCGATAATAGAACCTCCAAAATATTCTCATTTCTCACCTTCTCTCATGTCAGATACGACTACTCTTACGTATCTATTCTTTCACTTCCACCAAATCATCATCATCAACGTCTCTCATTCATCCACATCAACACCAACACTCACTCTCTCCGAATCCTAACCCTCCATTTCAATCATCTACTACTCAACCTATCAAACTAGTGAGACATGTTAAGGCCCACCATTGTTACCACCGACGAGTTTTTTTTCTTTAGATACAACAGACAGACAACATGCCAATTAACTCTCACTCATTATCTCACTACCCTTGAGTTCACCTTTTTCTTCCTTCTTATTCACTTGTCCTGTCCCATGTTGCAATGCAATGCAAGCCACACTAACACATGCAAATTCTTCTCACTTAACACACTACTCTAAATTTTATAACCTCTCTCTCATTTTCTTTCTTTCTCTTCTTATTCTATGAATTCTTGTTAACATAGTCATATACTATAGTAGTGTGAGTGAGTGATACTTTAGTTTAACCAACTACACTGCTCAATTCTTGGCTTCTGAATGGGTTTATCTTCTCTTCACGTCTGCAATATGGATTCTTCTGCAGATCACTGGTTGCAGGTATACCATGCACATGCACATGCACATTGTTTAGCATTTGCCTCTCATTTTTCCTTATCATGCTAGCTCCTCTATTACTCATTTTTCTGCCTTTAGTTGAGTTTTGGCAAGTAGACGGTGAGATTGATCTCTCGAATTAGTTAATCTTAAAACCAGATACGAGTTTTAAAAAAATACTTACATTCATATTCATTTGAATTTCTATATAATTTAAGTAAAAGTGCTGCATGGTATGTTTTTGACTCATTGATCTCATGATTAAAAGTGAAGAATGAAAACTAGAAGAAGCTAGCTAGCTAGAAAGAGAACAAAAAGAATGAAAAAGAAAAAGACAATGTATAATAACAATCCAACAAGACACCAAATCAACAAATTTTTTACTTTAACTTTTATCACAAATATACTAACTTCTAGTTTCTTTTATACAAAATGTCAGGGCACAATTCACGATGAGTCAGGAATGGATTCATCTTCACCATTATCTGGTGACATGCTAACATGTTCAAGGCCAAACCCCATGATAGATCAAAGGAGGCTAAGACCACCACATGACCTATCTCTAAAATGTCCAAGATGTGATTCAACTCACACCAAATTCTGCTACTACAACAACTACAGTCTCTCTCAGCCAAGGTACTTCTGCAAGACTTGTAGAAGGTATTGGACTAAAGGTGGAACCCTAAGAAACATTCCTGTTGGTGGAGGTTGTAGAAAAAACAAGAAAGTTTCATCCAAAAAACCTAATGATGTTCACCATTTAGCTAATAGTAATAATATTCAAAATCATCAAAACCAACCACAACAAGGATCTTCTTATTCATACCATCATCATCACCACAACAACAACAACCCTAAAGATCTTCAACTTTCTTTCCCTGATGTGCAATTCTCTCACCTTAGTAACTTACTTGGGAGTACTAGTTCAAATGCATTAGGAAACCCTAATTTCAACGTCGGCATGCTTGAGAATCCTAGGCCTATTGATTTCATGATGGAGAGTAAACTAGAAGGCATAATTGGAAGTAGTTCTAGAAACTTTGATAACTTTTTTGGAAACAATGATCACATGAGTATGAACATGGGTGTTGGAGATATGATGAATGGACAAAATCAAAATGTGCTTCAATTGCAACAGAATTTTCATTCTACATTTGGTGGCATGTCATCATTTGATGGAAGCAACAACAATGGAGGTTATTTAATGGATTCTTGTCAAAGACTCATGCTTCCATATGATGCTCATGATGAGGATCATAGTGCTTCTTCAATTGATGTGAAACCAAACCCTAAATTACTCTCACTTGAATGGCAACAAGATCAAGGTTGCTCTGATGCTGGATATGGATCATGGAGTGGCATGATGAATGGTTATGGATCTTCCACAACAAACCCTTTGATCAACGGCTGAGATTTTTCTTAATGGTTAATTTGATCAATGACCTAATCAATCACTCTATAGTATTATAATATACATAAAGTTGTTGTATGGGAGGGTTTAATTAATTAATTAATTTCATGTATTTTTTTTTTATGTAGTGTTTTTATTTTCTAGCTTGTTGGTCTTGATGGAAGGAGTGTGAATGAGAAGGTTGAGAGTCCAAATGTACGGCATTGGTGTGTAACTTTTGGGTTATATAAATATGCATGTGTGTCTTTGTAATGGAAGATTTAGGATTTATGTTTGATGTAACATCGAGGAAGATATGGTAGTTCTTCTATCATAGTTAAGAAAATATGCTACTGTTATATTACTACTATCTTTATGAAATCTTTTGTTTCTATTCTAGAGTTGTGAATTGTGGGGCTATTATTTATGTTATTATAGTATTATGTCCATAACTATGATAGGAATGTTTCTTTGACTTGGTTATTGTGTCGTCATGCAAGATATATTAAGCAAAAGAAAATTATGACAAAGAAGGAAAAAGGGGCATTCGGAGAATCGAACTCCGGACCTCTCGCACCCAAAGCGAGAATCATACCACTAGACCAAATGCCCTGTTGTTTGTATATTCAAAGAAAGCTTATATAACAGTGAGAATTACATTATCTGATACAAGTATTTGAAACTTGCAAAAGATGTGTTAAATAATATTGTTGCGCATTACACTGTGTATCACCTCTTTTCTCTCTTTCTATTTGCCTTTTTTTATTCAACTATTCCATTTGTTACAAGAAAACGAAAGAGATATAAAATGTATCAATTTCTAGTACTTATATGTTAACCAAGAGACTTTTTTAGAGCAAATGTCAAGAAAATACTGCACTCTATTAAGTCATACATTAACATTATTTTTCTCATCATTCATGTGACACAAATAGATTAATGTGATTTTGCTTCACTCATAAATCCCTCACTTAGAAGGATGTTTTGTTTACTATTGTGATTGTGTCTTTGCTTAGTTTTATTAACAAAAGCGTGCTAAGGAGAAACACCTCTGCGTTGAACCAATCTAACACTCATAATTTTCATTGTTCGGTGATTACCTTTTTTGCATTTGAAAAATGGCTGATGCTTTTGTTTTTATTGGAGATCCTATATTGATATCATTTTAGATGGTTTACCCTTGGAATTTGCTCATGTAGTTTCAATCATGGAAACCAAATTTCATGTGATGGACCTGATAAAGTTGAAGTCCTTCTTCTTGCTCATGAACTTAGATTGGACAAAATCAAGAAACAAATTGTTGTTGATGTTGTGTCTTCGAGGAGGACGCAACTCAAATATTCAATGTCATGTTTGCTCTAAATTTGGCCATACTTCTCTCACATGTTTAACCAACAGTTTCAACCTCAACCTAGCACTTAATATGTTGCTTCTCCTTTTTGCCAAGCCTATGGTTATGGACACGCACCTTATGGGTCCCCTTGTGTGTTTTCTTAACCTACCCATATACTTGATAAGACCTCGGTATGCTTGTTGTGAATAAATCCAACTTAAAATGGTGGTTATAAGGTTGTTAGTTGTGGTAGTTAGTAGTTACTTGTGAGGCAAGTAACTTTACATATAGTATATAAACACTTGTATTTGTAATGTTTTGATAACTCTCATTGTCATAATATTACTTCACCAATTACACTCTCAACTTCTCTACTCTATCCAATATCTATCTCGAATATTTGTTGTAAACATAGAGTTTGCACCAACAAATCGGTATCAAGAGTCTTTTAGTTCTCGTCCGTAAAAATCGTGTATTCTAGGGTGGTGACTTGTATCTGTTTTAATGATGAATGGTAGCAATGACATTTTATATTCTCTTCTAATTCTTGATGGCAATAATTGAGACCTCTGGCATAAGCAGATGAAGTCCTTATTTGGATTTCATGATACTCTTGAGGTGGTTGTCAATGGCGTTTTTGAGCTTACTGCACACGTAACTGAAGCTCAATGTACTCTTTACAAAGACTCTAAAAAGAAGGATCGCAAGACGTCGTTATGTATTCAATCAGTTGTTGATGTTGTAAATTTTAATCGAATTGTTCATGCTGAGTTTGCGAAAGAGACATGGGATATTCTTGTCAAATATTACGGAAGAGGTGATAAAGTTAGATGTGTAAAGTTGCATTCTTTACAAAGGCAACATGAGTTACTAAAGATCGGAGAAAATGATAAAGTAACAGTCTATGCGTCCAAGGTGCATAATCTTGTTCATTTAATGAAAAGTTGTGGTGAAATAATGACAGACAATATGATCATTGAGAAGGTGATGAAAATTTTACCTCTCATTTTGATCATATTATTATGGCTATTCAAGAATCTAGTGATTTTTCTACGATGAAGTTAGATGATTTTGTAGGCTCATTAGAAGCCCGTGAGTTGAGAATTATTGAAAGAAGAGGTGTTCAAGAATCCATGTAGGCTTTGAAAGCTCGGAATTGGAAGAAGCGTGGTGGATATCGAAAGCTCAAAGGCATATTTGACAAAAGAAATAATAAGAAGGATTATTTGTCTCACTATCAAAAGTAGAAGAATGGTGACAAGCCTGGATCTTCTAAAAGATGAGTATGGACTTCTCATCGTAAAGAAAAAATTGATAGGAACACTATGCAAGGTTATAATTGTGAGAAATTGGGTCACATGGCCAAGGACTGTTGGTACAACAAAGATATTTTGGAAGTGTTTCACTAATATATTTTGGTCTTTTTAAGGATCACGCCATTTGTGGAAATAGATACTTTGTCTCCTTTAGGAATGAGCATTGCAGGAAGATTTAGGTGTACCTAATTAGGCACAAAGATGAAGTATTTGAAATCTTTAAAAGATTCAAAATCCTAGTGGAGAATCAAAGTGAGAAGAAGATCAAGGTCATTAGAACAGATGTTGGAGGAGATATACTTCCAAGATGTTTTAAGAATTTTATGTACAACATGGGATTGATCATGAGTTCATGGCTCCATATATCCCCTTAACACGGTGGAATATCTTAGAAAAGGAATAAAATCATCATGGATATGGCTAGGTGTATATTGAAGCAAAAGGGTATGCTTAACTCATTATGGGGAAAAGAAGTCACAACAGCTCCATGTGTGTTGAATATGTGTCTAACAAGGAGATTGAAGAACAAAGTTCCAGAATAAGTTTGTAGTGGCAAGAAATCATCAGTGGATTATATTAAAGTGTTTGGTTCGATTTCTCATAAGCATGTGTCTGATGCTAGAAGGAGGAAACTATACGACAAAAGTGAAGTTATATTGTTGGTTATCACAAAACTGGAGCTTATAGATTGTTCAATCCAATTAGTGGAAAGCTTATAATCAATAGATACATCAATATTGATGAAAATTAAGCATGGAACTAGGCATCTAATAACACAACTAGCAAGCCTTTGTTTAATTCGGGCATGGAAGAATTAGATGGTGATTCAGATGAAACTCCTTCATAAGATGTAGCTGATAATGTTCATGATATGTACGATTCTCTTATCCAAAGGTCTCAAAGTACAAGAGTAGCACCAGCAAGACTACAAGATTGTGAGGTGATTGCGGATAATGAAGTCACATAAGATGAAGATATTATTCATTTTGCACTACTAATAGATGTTGAACTTATCAACCATAATGAAGCCTTGAAGAATGAAGCCTAGAAAGCTGTAATGATTAAAGAATTATCACCCATTGAGAGGAACAATACACGATGATTTGTCCAATTTTCAGCCAAAACTAAAGTAATTGAGGTCAAATGGGTGTATAAGCTGAAGCATAATCCTGATAGTTTAGTTGATAAACATAAGGTCAGGCTAGTAGCTAGAGGTTTTATTCACAGAGCATATCTTAACTACTCTGATGTTTTTTCTTCAGTTGCAAGGTTAGAAATTTCCAGGTTAATAGTAGCTCTAGCATGCAAAAGAAACTAGTCAACATTCCCTCTTGATGTGAAATCTGTCTTTTTGAATGGACCATTGGATGAAGCGGTTTATGTTACTCAACCTCCAAGTTTTATGAAAACAAGGAAGGAAAGGATGGTGTATAGACTGCATAAAGTTCAATATGACCTTAAAATACACCAAGAGCTTCAAATAAGAAAAATAATTCTTATTTGGCCAAATTTGACTTCACGAAGTGAAAATCTGAATATGGTGTGTATGTGTAATCAGTGGAAGATGACATAACACTCATATGTCTATATGTTGATTACTTGTTATTCACAGCCAACAATATCACCAACCTAAAGAATTCCAAGCACTTAATGGTGAAAGAATTTGTGATGTCATATTTAAGCAATGTATCTTATTTGTTAGGTATGAAATTCTTAAAGACTGAGCAAGGCATGGTATTGCATCAAAGGACATATGTTAGAGGAGTTCTCAATGGGTTCAAAAAGAGTGAGTGTAATCATCCATCCCCTCATATTGAAGCAAAACTGAATATTGAGAAGAATGATGATGATGAAGAGAAGGTTGATGCAACCCTATTCAAACAAACAGTGGGCTCATTAAGGTATTTGTGAAACTCCAGGCCTGTCATGGGCTTCTCAGTTGGCCTACTAAGCAGACATATGGATGATCCTAGAATATCTCACATGAAAGACACAAGGAGAATTGTGATATACCTAAATGGAAAAATAAAAAAACGGTATTCTTTTTCCTAGAAGCGCAACTGATAATGATGCAGTGATCACTTAATATTCAAATTCATATTGGTATGGAGACAAATCTGATAGAAGAAGTACAAATGGTTACTTTTTCAAGGTTTTTTATGCACCAATCTCTTAGTGTTATAGGAAACATACTATTATGACCCTATCCTCGTGAGAGGAAGAGTATATTTCAGGATCTTATTCAGAATACCAAACCATTTGGATTGAATCAGTGTTGATGGGCAGATTTAAAGATCAGTCGACAATATAATCAAGATGCTGAAACATCTAGAATCATCAGATAGTGTCTAGGTTTTCATGTTTTGTTATTT